GCCGACCTTGAGACTTACAGTGGACTTAAGTTAATGGCCTGCCGTGTGGATTGGTAACATCGGGACTGTGCCTTTTGACTTGTCAGCCTTGGGGCTTCTCAGCCTCAGCAGCCAACAGCGGTCTGAGTGAAGAAATGCCTCTAGCTCCAGTGGGCTGGGAGCAGGAGACAGAGATGGACCCCAAGGTTGAGGGGCTTTCATCCAGCCCCTAGAGCCAGGCACTTTGAACTTGGACCTAAAGCCTCCAAATTGTAATAATAAACTCCTGTTTGTTAAGGCCATGCCATTGGTGGTATATTTCCTGTCAGAGAGGCACTAGGTAACCAGAACATATGGACTACCAGAAAAATGAACAGATCTGTCTTGAAAGAAGTACAGTGAGAATGCTCCGTAGCAGTGAGGATGATCAATGAAAACGAAGAAGAGCCTCAGTGAGATGCACTGACACGGAGGCTGCAATGATGGGCTCAAACACAGCAATGATTGTGAGCATGGGGCAGGACTGGGAAGTGACTTTTTTTATACATAGGGCCACTATTAGTCAGAACTGACTCGACAACAAAAAAAAATATATAATATTTCATTATCAAACAGTTAGATTTGCTAGAAATTTTTTCCCTTATACTGAGGCTAAATATAATTTCCCCTAAACTCCATTCATCGGTCCTAATTCTACACTTTATGTCTAGATTGCATACAATATATGTTTTTTGGAAGACAGTGCTCACATTCTACCTTTTCTCTTTTCTAGATCATACATAAGCAATTTCTTTCATTCCTACCCTGTCTCACAGGTCTTTCACCATAATAATTGCTGCCTACCTACTGACCTGATTTATATATTGTAGTTTGTTTTACGTGCGTTTTAAAGTAGGCCTCCGGAATGGAACCAACAGATATAGGCAATGTGACCACTAGAGGCTGGTAGGACTATGATCTCCCTTATTCTGGATATTCCATTTCTAAAGGCACAATCCAACATCACCCTGTTACTCAGTAGACACATAGTGAGCTGACAGTATGCCTCTTTCCTACTGTTACAGTCAACCAATTCTCCCCTCTCCTGCACTTGTAACCTGGGTTTGAGGACCTAAAATCAGGATGTTTATAAGCAGCCCTATTAGATTTCACATTATGTTTAGTCAAGGGCTATAGACAAGCCCAAGGGCAAGCACCCTATATTATAAGTAGTTTTCCCCAAGTGCTGATGAACATTTGGGGAGAAAGGGGACTCATTCCAGGAATGCTACTCAAATACTTTCACTGCCTCTCTAGAACTGCTGAATAGAGCCATCAACTTGGAAAATCTATTGTCTTTGAGTCTCTGACTCCTTTTAACATTCTTCCCAGCTGACCAAATGTCATTTATCTACGGAACATCCCACTCTTTCCTGCTGAGAAGTCACTATCTATATTCAACTTATCACACAAACTAATGTTTTAGACCACATAATTAGACGTCATTCTTTATTAGAACAAAGTGCTGCATCGCTTTGAAGATCTTAGTGATCTTATAGTTTAAGATCTTACAGTTTCTTATAGGAAACGTTTATGTGTCCTTCGTGGATTTCTATATGCCTTGTTCAGTTTCCTTTTTCTCACTCCAATTGAGAGCAGTAAAGAGACTTACAGCCAGGTCAGGTGGCAAGAATACTAATCAAGACTTTACCCACCTTTGACAATGAAACTCAGAGGATCAACCACATTCATAACCATAAAATTAATGTCTCTTCTGTTACCTTCAACAAAAATCCTAAGTCCAAACTTGGAGAGTATATTATATGTCTTTTAAAGTTTTAACAAGAAAGGGAAGATAGTAAAATGGTCTCAAAATTTTACTGGCTCAGATTTTTATAATGTTACTGCAAATTTAAGCTTTGTTTTTTAGGGTGTAAAATTCCCAAAAGGTCAGATTCAAGTTGAGTATTCAAAAACAAAGTGAAATAATTATCGGATTGATTAATTCAATTAGCCAGTCTAAATAATTAAGACTCTTCTGTTTTTTCAGGTTTTTTTTTTTTAAGGTCATTATCTGCACAATTTCTACAACTTCCCATTTCATTTTAGCCAGAGAGAAATATGTTATTTTGAAAAAAAAAAAAAACAACCCTGGTGAGTGTAATATCAAAGGTTTTCCATGTACTCCTTTGGGGAAAGGAGGGATCTTTTACTACTGCCTTTTAATTTTTCCCCACTGTAAGGGTTGTGCTTAAATAGCCTATTAAACTATTTATTGTATGTGAGAAGGGCACTGGATAAATGATTGTTTCCACATTGCAACAATGACTCAATTATAAATCTAAGAAGTTAACAAGAAAAACTAAATCAATATTAAACAAGTAAATCATGTTAAAAGAGCCAAAATGATATTTCACTAGCATAATTACAGACATGTCAGTCTGATCCGACTCTTTCGGAAAGAGTGGAGGCAATATTGCGAAACAATGATGAGGGTCATTGATTCCATCAGTCATTGACATTTTCAGTACAAACTTTAATTTTGGCTGTCCAAGCTGAAACTTAATACAAGCTTACTTGGACAGTTTTCAATGCTTGGGCTTGAAAATTGTTCTTATAAAAATGAAGAAAACTAGTAAATAGTTTTACTAGAAACTAACAGAAAAGATTACTGTGTAGATCTAAGCCTTATTAACTGCTCCCTGATATCATAGTTATTTACGTAAAATCTTTATTGACAGGCTAATTCCACCATTTCATTATTATTTGTGGCCAACGGGAGTGAATATTATAAACAAAAAAAAAATAAGACACTCATTTCAGACTTATAACTAATAATATGAGGCATCACGGTTTATTAAATACACCTGTGGCATGTCTAAACTGTTTCAAAAAGCCAACTTCGGAAACTGAGGCAAACCAAGTGCAGCATTCTTTCTCCTTGATCTGAGCCATGCTGATTTTCAGCTTGTATGTTAAAGAAAAACAAAGATAAACAGAAGTTTACAAGCCTCTAGAGACAGACACCACAATTTACACCATTATGCAAAAGACACAAAGCAGGAAAGACTGGGAAGCAGATGGAGGAAAAAGAGATTTGCTTAAGGTGATTTTTCAAGTAGCTGAAATTATCTAGCAAATGTCTTTAGAATTATTTTTAATGTCTGTTTATTAAAATGGCCCAAGCATTAGTATATTTTATGGCTTAACGACTCTTAAAACACCACTATAAAATAAATACACACAGACACTCACATACATGTGTGTCCAACCATTACATGGAATAATGTTTTCCCATTTCCGCTTACCTGAACTGTACTGTCAGAGATTTTCTGAAGTAAAAGACCAATATCACATCAGGATGAAATAACTGAAACTAACTGTGGGACTTCTTTTAATTTCCACCCCTTAAACACAACCTGAAAGATTAATCCTACACAGATGACACTATGATAGGTATCAGATATTTGGGGTTTAAGTCTTTACTCCAGAGGTCTTTTCCTGATACTCTAATGTATGGTGATAAATGTCTCTTTAATTTGCACAAAAGATTTCAATTGCCCTCATAGGAGACCACCTTGAAGGAGCGAGAAAAAGGTTTAGTCATGGTTTCTATTTTTCTGTTTGAATTCAATACATTCTAGTTAAATGGACAATTAATAGGTCACTTCCAAAATAGTAGTGTATCAGTCCTGGTTAATAAACAATCCCCACAGTTGATAATGGGCCTATGTATTCAGCGAGTCCCTGTATACACTCGGCTCATCCACTAAATCCCCTTTCAGGTGGACAGCGTTATATGGGAAGATGAGCTAGAATGAGTCTATAAAAGTCAGTTTCATTCACTGCTTTATTTTTCAGTCAAGTGCTTTAAATGGTGTCCAGAAATTCACTTGGAATGTGAGACAGGAGAAAAGACTGACACACAGAGCCTTGCTTTATGGCCATACAAAAGGGCAACTGACCCTTGCCCAAGCCTTTTCCATGTGAAATGGTTCCTAAAGTTCATCTGCACAGTGAAAAATCGTGGTGAGGTCGCGTGTGGATGAGTCAAGTGAAAGTGATGATTGGTCATGGTTCTGTCATCCTTTGTGACTGGGCCCCAGTCATGTAAAGTGCTCTGTGGGAAAGTATCAGCCCCCTAAAAAGATGCTCAGAAGCTCACAGCTCATTAAACGGCCAGCATTTGCTGCCTCACTTGTCAGGAATCATTCTGTCAAGCAACTGCTCTTCTGAAACATTCATAAAACAGGCACATAGGCAACAGAGATCTAAATCCAACTGTGATAGAGCTCGGTAGCTTAGAATGACTCAACTCCTATTTTACTTTTCACCTGAGAGAGCTGTTAACCTGAATAAAAGTGAATGTTTTAACATTCTAGTTCGGGTTTTTTTTGTGTGTGGTTTTCTTCTATGCATGTGCACATATGTGCACTCTACGGATTTTTGAAAGTTTGTCATTTTCACCCTGCCCCAGAAACTATGAAAATTTTGCTTTGATATTGTTTGGAGAAAAGTTTCTCTTGAAAATATTTTTGAAGACTATATAACTCTTGCTGGTCTTCTTCAAGAGAATAAAGAGGAGATGTTTATCTCCTTCTAAAATCTTGACAATGGTAAATTATTCTCTATAAACACCTAATCACTTTCTATGTCCTATTTTCAGCTAAATGGGAATTTTACACAGCACAGTATCTTAGCTTTGCCTTTCTTCTTTTTCTCTTCTTGAAACAAGTATTGCCACACATTTCAAAAAATAGCCAAACTGGTCCCTCAGAGATCTTTTATATCAAACAGAAAACAAGTAGCTTTCCTTGGTGTGTCAGCCTGAGTTTCAATGCCATTAGAAACAGCGCACAATTGCTCAGTGTGCTGAGGTTTGATAAATCTCTGGAAACCTCCTGAATAGGATTGCTGTGATTTTTAGTGAGGAATTAGCTCCTTGCCATTGCATTACCAATTAGTTTTCCAGAGCACATTAAATCCTGCTGCTTTGGTTTACAGAATAACTGAGGCATTGCTGATGAAGCATAAAAACTTACTTGGAAAAGCAGTGGGGGATGCAGGGCGCCGACAGGACCCACCGCAGCACGCTGAGTAGAACGGCGGGGCACTCAGAAAAAAAGGTTTGGAAGACGCTGCAGAAAAAGCATTGATCTCATTGATTATCCATTTCTTTTAGGCAATTTTCAAAACTCCAATTTCCTGAAAGCCACCGAGTAAAAGTACTAAATTTGCTGAGTTTTTACTGAGTTGAATAGTTAGTTGTAACTTTTACTGACTTCAAAATCATTTTAAAGCAAGCTTTACCTGTCAAAGAGCTTGCCATATCATTTTATCAAGATTTGGATCATGTGGTGGTAGGATTCAAATAAATCTCAAACACCAAACTTACTACCTAATTTTCAGTGAGGTCATATTCATAAATATTAACTATTCTTTTATTTAAAATCTAGATCAGCACAGTTCAAAAGATGTTCAATGATGGAGATGTTCCATATCTGCATTGTCCATTATGGGATCCACTGCCTGTGGTTTCTGAGCACTTGAAATGTAGCCAGTGTGACTGCGTAACTGAATTTTTTATTTAAATTTCAAGAGGCACATATGGCTAGGGGCTCTCATATTGAAGAGCAAGCTCTAGATGTTATACTTACCAAGAAACAATCTCAATGGTCTAGTTTTTGAAAGAGATTATATTATTGTATTTATTTTTAGAGTATTTTGAAATACATAGTAAGTTGCGTTCCAATGTTGGTAATGGTTCTTCTAGTAACCAACTAGCTAACAAAAACTGGCATTCTGCCAACATATTTCTGATTACATTTAATGTTTCAAAGTATCTGAGAATGGTAATAACATTTTATCTCAAGAGACATCTATCTCTTGAGAAATTTTATCTCAAGTTAATCTGAAAGCATTTGTGCTTATAGGATAGAGCGTTGCCACATAATTCTGTTCGAGTCGGACCCAACTCATAGCGACCCCTCCTTGGGTTTCCGAGGCGGTATCACTACGGAAGTAGATTGCCCAACCTTCCTTCCGAGGAGTGGCTGGTGGGTTTGAACGCCAGCCTTCTGGTAAGCAGTCAAGTGTCTTAGGCACTATGCCACCAGAGCTCCTGGTAATACAATTAGAGAAACATTTTTTTTTTTTTTTGCTACATCTAGAATATAAAAAAATAAGATAGTATACTAGTAATACCATCAAAATGATGATGATGCAGGATATGTAAAAATTATAAATTTTCCTATTCTAGCCAAAATGTTTCTCAGATAGTCTAACTCTACAGTTTTAAAAAATGAAAAAACTGTTTATATTTTGAGACAGGTGATCTAATATAAAGTCATTTGTGATAAATGAGGTTCTGAAGTATACGATCTTAACAATAAATTTAGCCAGAAAACAGGATTAATTGAACCTGAACCTGTTCAAATTGCTAAAAAAATTCCCTATCTTAATATAATGATGCTGCACGCTACCTACAGGCACGACTCTTGATTTGACTCAAGAATTGGCTTTTACATTTTGTGACATGATCAGGCTTAGAGTTCTATTGTGTAGAGAGAGTCTCTTTCCCATTCTAAATTGCCTCTTTGACACATATATTAACACAGGAGATTAGTCAATTCCTGATTGCTATACATAAATATATCTTGTTTAAGCTGGTTTATGTGGAAATCGCTGTGAAATTCCAATTAAGTGCTTTTTTTTTCTTTAACATGCTCCTACTTTCACATAAATCAAGTGCTAATCCAGCTCAGCTTGTCATTGCAGCAGGACTGAATGGCTTTAGAAGGCAACCATGTCAAACAATGCAATGCAGTAAATACATATATTACATTTTAAATGTTTGTAAATAACATACTTTTTAAAGCAATCAGCCAAAGAGAAACTCAAGTTGATAAAAATAAAGTGACAAGTTAACAGAGGTGTTAAAACTTTTGGTAATCCATTGAGAACCATTTGTAGATGCTCTGAAAAAAAAGGGCAAAAAACAAGGCAATTTCACCCTGGATGATACACATTTCAGCACCCATCAACGCTGTTTAGATGCAGTTTCTTTATCATTTATCATGTTAGAAACGATTCATTCATTGTAGGCTTACCGAACAGTATTTGTAATGGTATAATATTTAAGGAGTGCCTACTTTATGTCTGGTGGACTGGCTACATGTTTAACATCCCATCTTATTCATTCATTAATGTTCAACATCAAATGGGCATACATCTGAAATGTGATTATGACTGCTTTCAGCAAACTTTTTTGTTTTAAAAGACAAAAGAAACAATAAGTATTTTAGTATAACATTAATTATAACTGGGAGGGATAGAGATTTCAGACACTCTTACTCAGGCACTAAGACACATCTCCAGGCTTTCCATAGAGAAAAATGGCTTTTCCCATGGAGAAACCACACACTGCTCAGGTTCCACAGTATGTGAAGTTCCGTGAGTGTACAGGATACTCCAAATTTTGTACACTGCTAACAAATCTAACTTTCAGTTGCTCGAGAAAACTGTTACAAGTTACAAACAAACTACCTTGTTACAAACATTTTTGTAAATAGTCTGAGGCCTGTCTGAATCCAAATGACAGTAATTCATTCATTCCCAGAAAATTTCATGGATTTTTCACTTCTTAATCAGATGTTCTGAATTTAGGCACAAAATCAAAATATCTATTAATTATTCTGAATATTTAGTTAATATGGGAACTTGTAACCAAGTTAATGGTGGACTGGCCTGATAAATTTTAACTTAACTAACTAGATAGTTCTGTGCTATAATTAACCCCAAAGTCAAGAATGGTTACAAGTCTACCAAACGAAACCAAACCAAACCCACTGGCATTGAGTCAATTCTGACTCATAGCAACCCCCAATGGGATTCCAAGGAGGTAAATCTTTGCAGAAGTAGATTGCCCAGTCTTGTGTCTTCAGAGTGGCTGGTGGGTTTGAACCACCAACCTTTTGGTTAGCAGTCAGATCCCTTAGGCACTGTGCTACCAGAGCTCCTTGGTTACAAGTCTAGGGACAGATAAATTATTTTCAAAATTCTGTTTGTCTAGAAAGCAAAATGTCTTAAATTATTTTTTACATTTTCATCCTTCTTTACTGATAGTAAAGAACAGCAGGTATCTGAGTAGGAGTAAAGCTACATTCTTTTCCTTGTCTACACAAACTGTAGTACTGACTGCCTGCGCTAACCCTTCAAAGAAAGAATACTAAAGGCCATTAACAATGGTTCTGATAAATTTCAAGAAATATTACGATGCTTTGTAGACTGGGCAGCACATTTTAAGACCCACCCAAAAACCCACTATTGTTAAGTCGATTCCAATTCCAACTCATAGTTACCCCAAAAGACAGCCCAGTGTAGAAATGCCCCGTAGGGTTTCTAAGGCTATAAATCTTTATGGAAGCTAACTGCCTCCTCTTGCTCCCACAGAACGGCTGATGGGTTCGAACCCCCAACCTTTTGGTTAGCAGCCAAATGTCTTAACCACTGTGCTACCAGAGCTTCACATTTTAAGACAAATAAAGAGAAATGAGAAATATTCCTAGACGTCTTAGTAAGTCAACCAGAGGATTTAAGAAAATACCTCTGCAGAAGAATAAGGGAATTAAATAATTTCAAAAATATGAGCCAGGTATATGGGCACTGGGAATAAAGAAACCTAAATTTCTGACCTGGAAAGAAAACAAAATTGAAATACTATCTGGAGTAAGATGGACCCAAAAATGTGGCTTTGAAGAATGGCAATCACTGTCCTGAGTAGTTGAACCTAAGAAATATCAATTATCTAATAGGTTTAATTTATTTTATTGCAGTCATTCTGGAAGTTAAATTTTCATTTATGTGATCCAACTGCAAATTTTGTTTTCAATCCTAAAGGAAACCAAGTTGAGTATATTCACCTTTTACCCTTCTGCTCATGAGAAAACAAAAGTAAGCATTTTTATCTGAAGAGTATTTCAAAGACAGAAAAACAAAGGCCTTAATGCTCTGGTACAGTTCATGAGTAAGTAAATCAAGTACAGGGTGTAGTTGTTTGAATGCATTCTTTAATTCAACGCAAATAATATTTCCTACATATCTATTAAGTGCCAAGTACTGCACTACGTGCTGGGACCAAAGATGAAAAGGTATTGTTTCCCTTCCTGGACAAATTCATATTTTAAGTCCCTTAGCTTACAGATTTAAATCTGCTGATCAAAGAAATAAAATGTAAATCTCTCAGTACTCCTTAGTTCGCCAAATTCAGTTTTAGTCTGTCAAACCCAAGGCATTCCACACGAACTAGATGTGATCTGAAAAAATTCCCGTTACATGATTCCCAGTCGTTCTCAATCCTGAATATACATTAAATCACCTGAGGTACTTTCCAAAGATGCAGATGCCTGGGCCCCACCCCAGTCTGGTTAAATCAGGCTAATTAGTAATAAGCCTCCTAGCATTATATTTTTTCAAAAGCTCCAGAGATGATTATAATGTGTAGCCAAAATAATGCCTGACACACAGCAAAACCAAAAAAAAAACTAAACCTGTTGATGTTGAGTCAATTCTGACTCATGGCAATCCCATGTGTGCCAAAGTAGAACTGCATTCCATAGGGTTTTCAATGGCTATATGGAAGCAGAATGAGCTCTGGTGGTGTAGTGCCTAAGGCACTTGATTGCTAACCAGAAGGTTGGTGGTTCAAACTCAGCAGCCCCTCCATGGAAAGAAGACTGGGCAATCTACTTCTGTAAAGATTTGTTGTTGTTGTTGTTATGTGCTGTCAAGTCGGACCCGACTCATAGAGACCCCTCCTTGGGTTTCCGAGGCAGTATCACTACAGAAGTAGATTGCCCCATCTTCCTTCCGAGGAGTGGCTGGTAGGTTTGAACCGCCAGTCTTCTGGTTAGCAGTCAAGTGCCTTAGGCACTATGCCACCAAAGCTGCCGAGATAAACTATAAACATATAGAAATGTAAGCATGTAAACATACAACAACATGTTTATATGTTTTCTAAACATACAAAAAGAAGCAATATGGTAAAAACTTCTACTAAGATACAGAAGCAAGTAAAAAGAAAACACTTTTTAAAACGCCTGATCAAAGACTTTAAGCAGAAGAAAAATCTCTGGATCTT